TGGAAGTTTTTTATATAGTATAATTAGAAAAGTTTCGACTAAGTGGAATGCACTCCAACACCATCTCAAAACTTCTCTTCATTCAAAAGCTATCTTTTGTAATGTTGAGATGAAGAGGTACTAGATTGGGCTTATCTCGAATAATCGGTTATTTACTTTAACTTCACCCTGACCTGAAGAGCACGATATTCAGTATCAATAGATCATAAATATTTTTGAAAAACCTTAAATTGTCTCACTTAAGTCCTATTTTTCAGCAATGAAACATGTGAACATCGATCCCGAAAAGATAATGAGTGAACTCGAACAATATGATATTCAGGTTAGTCGTATTTAAGTTCCTCAGTATTTGCTATAAAGAAAATAAAGTGATAGCATCAGGAAATCATCCCATTGCATGCAAAATGAGCCGGTGAACAAAGATTCGATAAAAGAGAATCTTCAAAAAAAGAGTGATTTAAAACCCCTTTTTATTTGATGATTTGTGCGCTAAGCGAAAAAATACTAATCTTCAACAAATTTCAGGATGCGCGTGGTGCTTCCGTTGATCCCGAGCTCTACGATAATATGTTGCAGGAGTTTTCGAGGTTTGTGAGGAATGATAATGATGAAGAACGAGAAGGAGAAGGTGTCCACGACTATTTTCTGGCACATAAAGTTCCATTCCAATTGTCGAAGCAAGCGCAAAAAACAAAGGTAGCAATTAATCTCAATTCGGCTCACCTACTAGAGAAGGAAGCGAACTTTTCAACTTTAGGCGATCATCCCAAGAGATGTTATGCAAAGAGGACAGGAAAAAAGAAGCCGTCACAGTGCTTTATCCTTACATCTTTGAACCAAAACGTAGTATAAAATCCAAATAATTAACAACGTGATGAAGAATCAATGTTTTGTATGCATTTGTTGATCTGCTCCTTTGTATCATGACATCCAAAGTATTTTCGATAACATCTTGACTTTTCAAACTTCTCATTTCTGTCCTCAATATTATCGAAGTTATTGCAAGCCAGTCATAAAGCTGAGTTGCTTTTGTTAAATAAATCTGGTGACGCATCAATAGAATGCACTAAAAGTTCAGAAATTAGCGCTACTCCTACTAGTTGTATTTCGCAATGTTGTCTAAATCAAAAACGAAAGCAGTACAGAAAACTATGCTTTCTTTCATCTTGTCCCAATTTGGAGATTGAATTGCTGGTGCCAAATTAGAATTGGGAACATTTTGATAATGAAGCTCCAATAGAGAAGCAAACTGTTGCCGGAAACATGCAATTCAATATTTGCTTGTTGCACCACTGATGAAAGCGAAAAGGAGTGTTAATTTCAAATATGGCAACCATCCAACGAGAACTCCAGCTGTGTCGAACGTATATCAGAAAATTATAGATTCTTTTTGGAAGATGTAGGAAAGAAATTAATAGATGTCGAATAAGTACGT